GAATGGTGGACCAGAGTAGGAAGTCGAAGATGATGGATTACCTCAAGTTCAAGAACCAAGAGAATACTCTCAACACTCTAGCTACAGGCTATCAGAGGACTCTGATCATGTTAGAGGCAATCTTTCGGATGAGGGTGGTGGAGAGCCATTTGGGGATGCTCCACACTACGATCCACTGTGTGATCACAAGCATTTTCAATTTATTCCAAGGTTGAAGTTTGAAAGTCTAAAACAGTTCAAGAGCGCCTTAGTCTTACATTTTGTGGCTTCTGGTGCTTTTTTGAGATGGGTTAGGAGCACACCATCAAGAGCGCCTTAGTCTTACATTTTGTGGCAGCTGGTGCTTTTTTGAGATGTCAGATGCAAGGATAGTAGATGCAATTGGAGGGTGTTAGCTAGCTAGTTTATGAAGAACCCAAGTTTTATGGTGAGGAAGGTAGGTCTGCACTATTCTTGTTCACGTAAGATGCGGGTGAATCAAGTTACTGCAAATTGGATTGCATCTGATATGCTTGAGAGGTTTCGAATCAATCCACAGTGGGCTCCATACCAAATCATGGAAGAAGTTAAGCTCAAACACCACATGGAAGTGGACAAGAGAACCTTTATAGAGCAAAGGTGGTTGTGATTCGAATGCTTAGTGGGTCGTTGAAGCCTGAGTTTCAGACAATCAGAAGTTATGTGGCTGAGATGATGAAGAGGGACGACATGGGAGGTTTGTTTTGGAGGTTCAACCACATCCTACTGAAGACAAAGTCTATTTCCAGAGGCTTTACATAGGGTTTTCTAAATTGAGGGATGAGTTTGTGGATGGATGTCGACAATGTTTGGCTTGGACGGCTGCTTCTTAAAGGGAAAGGTGAAGGGGATGCTACCACTGCAGTAGGGAAGAATGGAAATAACCAGATGTATCCACTGGTTTGGGCTGTTGTTGAGAGTGAGAATGTAGATTCGTGGAGGTGGTTCATAAATATATTGACTCAAGAGTTACATATGCTAGATGGAAGGGATTGGAGTGTTGTCTCTGATCAACAGAAGGTAAATTCCCATCTGCTTGTTTTATAACTTGAATTTCAACATCTATGTTACTCATTTACAAGTTTGTATTTTCTGACTTAATTGTTTTGTGTCTTTTGATAAGGGTCTGGTTGAAGCTCTACGTGAGATCATACAAGAGTTGAGCCTGCTGCAGATCAAAATGTGCAAATACTGGTAAAAGAACAAGAATCGGTCATTGCTCTAAGTGTGGTTCGATGCTCGAACTTGCCCCCTTAATCATGGAACTAGAATTTAGGTATAATATAAAGTATTTGAGCTATGGAATCAAGGAGTTGTGAATGTGAAGGTGTGAGACTGAAAGCTATAATCTTGTTTTCCTTAGGCAATTTGGCTGAATGTTGATGATAGGAGAACTATTCAACAAGAAATGGGAGTTGCAACAGCAGGTGTGGGAGTATAAGTTAACGAGAGGACTGAAAACCAATATGTTCGGGTTAGTTTTAGTATTACTAACAGAAACCAGTCAATTTGAATGTTTATTGTCCATTGATTTTCAACTTAAATATGTTGTGTTTTTTACAATTTAATGGAGCAAGTGGGCGTCCTCCAGGGAACAGCCAGCAAGTTGTTGTGGATGTCCAGGGAAGCCAGCCACCAGTCTTGAACCGTAGATGTGGCAGAACATGGTCGATCAACCATTAGTCAACTTCCAGTTAGGATAGCTTGAATTCGACTCATTTTATGTATTGGGGGTACTATTTTAGGTTATATTGCAATCGACATTGCTAGCATATTCGGATTATATATTTGTCGTGTAAGGAACAAATGGTTGTGTAAGGAACAAATGTTTGGTTTTATATTGCACTGGTTATATTTGAACATCTAGTTGTTGTTAGACAAGTTCCATTGCAATGGTTATATTTGAACATCTTATAAGACAGGAAACACAACCATTTCATGGTGAGACAAGTTCCACTTGTTAACAAGTAGTACGATACCCCAATTACATCTACATACCAAATTCTCTTGCCCACAATACAAGAATGAAAGAGGCATTCACGACAAGGAGTATTGTTAACATCATACGAATAAATCGAACATCATCATTCAATCTCCTTCCTTGGGATAACATAGTCTCACGATCTTTCATCCACACCATCATTTCTTAAGCTAGTCTCTTTTTCTCCTTCTTCCTCCTCTCTGCCTTAGACTCAGCAAGGTGCAAACTGTCCTCAAGTTGGCATATTAGGCTCTTCGTAGCACCCTTTCGATCCTCCATTTCATCACCAACTATCTCAACCCACCTAAAAAAATGACAATTCTTCTTCCCCGGATTTTCACTCCCATTCTGCACCATCAATATGGTTTAGTTAGAAAATCAACGAGTCAAAGACACCCAAACGATTTCGAGAATCAATCTATCCCTTACCTGCTTCCAATAAGGACATCCATAAAATTGCCTGCCTGGGTTAGTCTCGCTACCCGACATCTTAATCACGGCGGGAACGTTGTGCTTGCAAAGCACCTTCCCACAGCCGCTGACGTTGGTCGCAGAAGAGGAGCCCCACTCTGACATCGCTGCAAATCGAGAAAATGAAGGGGCATTCGAACGGCAGAGGCGCGAGCAGAAAGGAGCTGAATGATGCCGGCGCCAGTCTACAGCTGTGGCGGCGGCGGCGTCGTCTCTGAGAAGTGTGAACCCTAATTCGTGAAATACTGATTTTCGGGGACAGGGAAGAAGGAGGAAGGGAAGGAAAGTCGACAGATTTAAAATGGTATTTTTATTTTTTTAATGCTTTATTGACGTGGCATTCCACGTGTACATTTTGTTAATGTGTCTCTGATGTGGAGGTTGGATTCCGTCCTCGTTAGCGTTCCGTCAAACGATTTAACCAATGTTGTCAGAACCAAACCTGATTATTAGCCAGTATAGCGAAATGTTCGCACTTTACTGGCTTAACCGGTATTGAACCGTTAAAAAACTGTAAACGAACCGATACAGCGATACCTTATAATATAATAAAATTATATATAGAAACACACATAATAACACATCTACGTGTATATATGCTAAAAACACACACATCTACGTGTATATAAATGCTTAACCCTTCTAGTATTCTAAATCTTGTGTGTATAAATGTTTTAACAAATATTCATTTGAATAGCCGGAATATATAAAAAATTAAAAAAAAAATGCTAAACCTAAGCAAGTAAGCAACCGCTTGTGTAATGTGAATGGGAAATCAAGCTAAAATTTAAAAGGCTAGGGAATAGGGAAACCGTGTCTTTGTCTCGGGGATATGGAAAAAGAAAAGTATAAAAGGGTTAAAAGTGCCTGGGAAATAGGGAAGCAACCGCATTGAGATGGTATAAATTTAATTTTTTTGGTAACTCCATCCAACAGGTTGTGTCTGATCGAAAAGTTAAGGACTGATTTTTTTCAAATGCAGCCTGCGTGCTTAAAACTGTTCGACCGGTTCGACCGGCCCAAGCGGTTAACCGCTTCTATCCCAACCGACCTTTCTTATCGTTGCGGCTTTTGGAGTGTTAACCGAGTTGGTGGCCGGGTGCCGGTTTTATTGGTCCGACCGGTTCGATTCGGCTTTAATAACACTGGATTTATCGAACTCACATATGGTGTTAAAGTTTCTAACGGATTTGGCTGGATTTGTCACACTACCCTCAATTTTTTGGACTATTTTGTGTTTTCGAATAGTTATGTCTATATTTGTTACAAAAGTGAAAGTTATAACTATATGTATTTTACCTATAATTCTGAGCTTCATGTTACTCCTCCCAAGAGACATGTGAGGGCCGGGCATCCCAATTCGATTAAACGGGATGACAGTTGCGTGGGGTAATTAGCATAAAAGGTAACAAACCTTCACACTTAGTACAAATCAGTCACAAATCTTTAATTTGTAAAAAATTGGTAACAAATGTTTGAGCGAATATCAAAATGGTAACTCCGTCACTTTCGGTCCAAATTTCCGTCTCCCTTGCTTAATCAGCATTCCACCTCATCAAAACTATTAATAAAAAAATTCAAAATATTAATTAAAAATTTACCCAGACCCAACCCACCCAAAAGTTAAGACCCGGGCTGATCCACCCTGCCGCAGCCTCACGTCTCCTTCTTCCCTTCCACCTCATCCTCCCCGTCTTCGCTGGTCACGACGCCACAGCGATTTCACGGCGGCGAGTTGGTTTTGGCGGCGTCCCCGAGCACGGCCTGCTTCATCTCGTCACCACTCCCACTTATTTCTTCTTTTTCTTCACCGCTGCGCTGATGCCCCTGCTAGACGAGAGTGAGAGTGAGAGAGAGGCAAAGCTAAGGTAGCAGACGAGAATATATATATATATAGAGAAAGAGTATCGGGTCGAGTCTCATTTCCCCATTGTTTTCCCCTTCCTCCTCCTGATATGGGATTGAATTGGTTGGGATTATTTTCTATAAGGAAGGAGGAGTTGCAGAGGGATTTAAGGGAAACAAAAATTAGGGTTCTTATTTGTCCACTGAGAGAGAAGGGTTGGAAGAAAGCTTTGGACTTGCTGCTCAATTTAGACCTCCCAATGTTGGCTGGAATGGGTGATGAAGAAGAATAAGGCGGCGGGATCAATGACAGCGGCGAGGGGGTTTGAAGAAGATGTTGCAGGAGTGGTGAAATTGGGATTGACCGGCTTTTGATCAATTTTTACGGGTTTGAGTAATGGTTGGTTTTAGATATTAAATTGGAGTTGTTTATTATTTGTTTTGATGAGGTGGAACGCTGACTAGATAAATCTAACAGAATTTTGGATGAAGATTAACAAAAGTGACCATTTCGTACAAGTTCAAACTTTTGTGACCAGATCATTACAAATTAAAGGTTTATAACCGTTTTGTACTAAGTGTAAATGTTCGTGAGACGTGGGGAGAAAATTGAGAATTGGGAGAAAATTGAGAATTGCAGTTGAAATAAGGCCGAAGTGAATCCACCGACAGACAGACGGGGCAAAGTGCAAACCCGCACAAGTCCACTATTCGTCCAGTCCAATTCCTCAAATCTGCTCTACTTTCTCTAACACCATCGATTTATTTCTTATTCGGACGCGTCGATCCCATTCCGCTCAACAATCCGCATTACTTACTTTGCTGAATCTAGCCCTTCTCCGCGATCTGAAAGAGTGGGGAGCCCTGGAGCGCGAAAAGAAAGAGTGAAAGGTTCCCTGGAATATCATGGCGGCGAATCAGGCGGCGGTTGTGAAGCTGGCTCTGGGGCTAATGGGATTGTGCTTGGCCGGTTACTTACTGGGTCCCCCTTTATACTGGCACTTCAAGGAAGGTTTAGCTGCTGTCAGTCATTCTTCTTCTTCGTCCACTTGCCCTCCATGCCTCTGCGATTGCTCCTCTCAGCCTCTTCTCACCATCCCTCAAGGTGGGTCAGTTCCCTCGAATCCAAATTACCCACGTTTTCAAGTTCTTTTACTTTTCCAGTTCGTGGATCTGGGTCTGCAATTTTTTTCAGAATTGAGCATAGAATCTTATATGTGTAGGCATTCCTGTGGGGTTCTCCACTAGGTATATATGGGGGATTGTGAAATTTTAGATCTTGGAAGATTTGGGATTGGCAATTCTAGTGTTTGCTGAAGTTTTTGATGACGGTTCCTGTGTGTGATCTTTTTTTCTTCTTTCTTTCTTTTGTGTCGACGCTCTGCTTTTGTGACTTGTGTCCGTGTAATAATGGAAGTCAATTCAGGATCTCTGCTTCACCCATCCCTGCTAAATTTGATTGATCCATGTAGTTATTTCATAACTGATAATGAATTGCTTATATATGTGGTCGCTGCTGTGATTTCATTGAATGGTAGCCTAGGTTAGCTTATTCTTCTTTGTCCAGTGGTTGAATATCAAACTGACATAAACTTGCTGTTTTTTTCGCTTTCTTTCTCCTGATGCAGAATTGAGCAATGCCACGTTTGCAGGTTAGTTTCATCCTCTATTATCAACTTGAGTTCATACTACTCTCTGGTGATCAAAGTTAGTCGGTTTCCATATGGACATGAACGGACATAGAAATGGGAGAAAGGTTGATCTTATGTGGGATTAGTGAATGGAATTCCTTGGATTTCCTGAGCAATTTAATGCAACCTAGTTTACTCAGCATTCACGAATAAAGTCATACCTACAATAGGCTTGCAGTTTGTGCTGTGCTGTTGAACCTACTAATAGAGTAGTATCCTTAACTGGCTCGATATCTGGTCTTCCTTCCACTTTCATTCCCAAGTTATTTTGAGAAGAGCTTTTGTCTACAAGTTCTTTCTTTTCCTCATTGTGTCATCTCATAGTATCTTCATTTTCCCATCCCCTGACAGAAAGGTCATCTATTCATGTATTCTATTCTCTTTCTTTGACCACTTTCTTTTCTTACTTAATGACTAGTTTCTTTGCAAATGATTGGTATTCCGGTTCTTGGTGGTGTATTCGCAAATCTGCAATCCTTGGGTTTAACAAAAAAAAAGGAACTGGCTTTCCCCATTTGCTCTCTTTATTTGTGTTGTTGTTTCCTTCTTCTGGAGATCCATCAAAATCTTTTCTAGCGTTAGAGGCTACCATCTGCTCTACTCGTGTTGGTATGTAGTAGAATCACCAAATCCGTATGGCATCAAGAATTAATCCATATAAATGGATGTATTGGATTTTGTGTTGTAGATTGTGTGAAGCACGATCCAGAGGTGAGCGAAGACGCCGAGAAGAACTTCTCTGAGCTGCTGACGGAGGAACTAAAGCTGCGGGAGACTGAAGCATTGGAGAGTCAGCAGCGTGCTGATATGGCCCTGCTGGAGGCTAAGAAGATCTCATCCCAGTACCAAAAGGAAGCGGACAAGTGCAATTCAGGGATGGAAACATGCGAAGAAGCGAGGGAAAAAGCTGAGGCCTCATTAGTAGCACAGAAGAAACTGACATCGTTGTGGGAGACAAGAGCGCGCCAGAAGGGATGGAAAGAAGGAGCTGCCACCAAGACTAAGGGAAGCAGCGTCCAATCTGCGTAAGGAGCCATTGCTGTCATCGGATACTGGTGATGTTCACTTCTGATTATAATACCACTACTCCTGGTTTTGATAGTGATAATTTGTAGATACACCTGGGTTCTTTTTAGGGAGGCCTTTTGAAGCAAGAATTTTGAAAGGCCCTGAGATTTGTATTGAGCAGCTGTCTTGTTGAACACATTCCCACTTGGAAACGTTATATTAGAATTTGATTCTGATAATTATGTGCTTCTATAATATGTATTCTTTGACGCCTTGAAATCCTTGTGTTCCGAGCTCGAGGCACTGAACCACAGCTTGCCTTCTTCTGACCTGAAGCTTCTCGAGTCAGGAAAATGTGGATGTGGATGCCAGTTCCAATACAACATATGATCAATTAATCGTCAAATGCATATTATTTATGATTTGCTTGTTAACAAGTGAAATATTTCATCGTGGAGGAGTTTACATGAGGCTGGAGATAGTACTCGCCTTCATGGTGGCTCATGACTTGCGTAAAGCTTTGCTTGAAGAAGTTTCATTGCCGCATGGTTCTTTTTTTCTTTACTTTGTTTTCATTTGTTCGTTATCGTCTTAATAGGGCTGAGTTCATTTGCTCACAGGCAACTCGACTTTCGAATCGGAAAAAACTCGTTTTATACTCGATTTTTTATTTAACAAGTTGATTCATGAACCGATTCGTTAGTAAACAAACAAAGCTTGAGCTAGACCATACTCAGCTTGATAAGCTCATGAGCTAGGTTAACTCAGTGGCTTGTTGAGCTAAACTCGCGAGCTGACTTGTTTAGAGCTCATGGAAGGATTAATTACTCTTTTGAACATGAACATTATCTTCTTAATACGGATGTGTATGAAAGTTTTGGTGTTCTTATTATTTAAATTATTTTGTTAACACATTTTTCAGCAACAATGATTTCAAATCGAGCTCATTTTGAGCCTAGCTAGTACATAGATTGACAAGTTGTGTTAATGAGCATTTATCGAGCTTACATTATTTTTATTCAAACCGAGCTCGAGTTAAATGATCTAAAATTTATAAACGATTCGAGCTCAAACTAAGTAAAAACTCGAACTAAACAAGCAAATAGCAAATATAATGAATGTTGACGAAATTGTTCACGTATACTATTTTCTTGTAAAACATGCAACATGAAAGATCACGAAAAAAAATCAAGCAAAGACACATATGACCGTCCTAGCCGATGGAATTCATTGTCTCTCCTTAAAGAATCTTATTCCCCTCTAGTACCCAAGGTTGTGGAATGATTCCTCCCAAGATAGAAAGAACGTACCTTTTCCGGCGTAGCGGTACCTCAAACCCCGGAACCCATCGAACGCAGCGAACCGGCGAGAACCACACTTGACTCGATTTTCTCTTTGAAAAGAATGCAGAATACTAGTTTTGGATTTTGGCAGAATTTTGGTACCAGAAAAAACAATCTAAAAAACCAGAGGGGTTAGGTGCTATTTATAGAGAATGAAGGGGTGCGTACGAAGGGAGGCAACTCTTCGTATGGGTGGTTACACCCCAACCAACACATTGGTTCGTTTTAAAATAATGAACCATTGCATCGGTTCGGCCTATGGTAGTTGGACCGGTTTGGTTATTCCAACCGCTATATCGGTTTGGTTCGATTTGATTCAACTCGGTTTGGTCCGATTGGTTACACAAATCAATATTACCGATTACCAACATATTACATCAAATCGACCGAATTCGAGACCAGTGAACGGATAAGAGTTAGTTGTGTGACATATGTTGTCTTAGTATACAAGCAAAACCGACGGTTCAAAGATATCACATCTATCGATTGGTGAGTATACTCGATATATGTTCACTAAGGAAGGTTCAAAGGGAAACCTACCTATTCCGATGCAACTAATTCTTAGTCAAGAATCACACGATTTTTTGCATAGTTTTTAAAGTACAACATCTCCATTCATGTGGGGGATTGTTGAGATTTTTAGTGGTGTGAATGGAAATGAAAGGGGAAAGATCCAAGAGGGTCTCTTGAAGTACCATGTTGGTAAGATGTGGGAAGGCACGGCCTCAAATTTGATCGATTTGATGTAATATGTGGTTAATTGGTTAAATTGGTTTGTGTAACCAAATGAACCAAATCGAACAGAACCGATATGGCGGTTGGAATAACCAAACCGGTCCAACTTCCATGAGGTCGAACCAATGAAATGATTGAAATATTTTAAACGAACCAATGCAATGGTTGGGGTGAAACCACCCATACGAAGAGTTGCCTCCCTTCGTAAGGACCAGTTCATTCTCTATAAATAGCACCTAACCCCTCTGGGTATTTATATGGTTTTTCCTGTACTAAAATTCTGCAAAAATCCAAAACTAGTTTTCTGCATTCTTTTCAAAGAGAAAACATAGTCAAGTGTGGTTCTCGCCGGTTCGCTGCGTTCGATGGTTTCCGGGGTTTGAGGTACGCTGGAAAAGGGACGTTCTTTCTATCTTGGGAGGAATCATTCCATAACCTTGGGTACTTGAGAGGAATACGATTCTTTAAGTAGAGATAGTGAATTCTATCGGCTAGAACGCTTGCATGTGTCTTTGCATGTTTTCTTAATCTTATGTGTTTGCTTGTGTTGCAAGAAAATAGTATGTGTGAACAATTTCTACAACAATCTTAAAGAATCTTATTCCCCTAAAGTACCCAAGGTTGTGGAATGATTCCTCGCAGGATAGAAAGGACGTACCTTTTCCTGCATAGCGGTACCTCAAAGCCCGGAACCCATCGATCGCAGTGAACCGGCGAGAACCACACTTTACTCGATTTTCTCTTTGAAAAGAATGCAGAATACTAGTTTTGGATTTTGACAGAATTTTGGTAACGGAAAAAACCATCTCAAAAACAAAAGGGGTTAGGTGCTATTTATATAGAATGAAGGGGTGCGTACGAAGGGAGGCAACTCTTCGTATGGGTGGTTACACCCCAACCAACACATTGGTTCGTTTTAAAATAATGAACCATTGCATCGGTTCGACCTATGGTAGTTGGACCGGCTTGGTTATTCCAACCGCTAATATCGATTCGGTTTGATTTGATTCAACTCGGTTTGGTCCGATTGGTTACACAAGCCAATATTACCGATTACCAACATATTACATCAAATCGATCGAATTCGAGGTCGTGTCTTCCCACATCTTACCAACATGGTACTTCAAGAGACTCTCTTGAAACTTTCCCCATTTATTTCCATTCACACCACTAAAAACTAGGGGTGGAAGTTTGGTTTGCGGGTTGCGGATTACCCGCAAACCACACCAAACCGTACACTTTGTGGATATCCATATCCATAATTTGTGGATAGTGGGTTGGGTGTGGGTAACAAAATATTGATTTTTGTGGTTAGTGGTTAACCACTACCCACAGCAATTTACCCACAAAACCCACATTAGTTATAGTGATGGTAATTTCAACCCGCCCCGCGGGTATTACCCGACCTGACCCGCGATGGGGCAGGTATTACCCGACCCGCAGTAGCGTGGGGCGGGGCATTGGTATCTACTTCAGTCCCGCCCTGCCCCGCCCCGCCTCGTTCTAGACTCATTTTATCTCAATTTCTTACAATATCTATACATATTTCTCCTATTTTGACTTTTTTCAACTAGTTAGAGTCGATCTTTCAACTTGTTAGGCTCAATTATCCATTCTATTATCAATATTTTTCATTCTTAAAGTGTTTTTCCCTATGTTTTATTGTAAAAAGTAAAATTTACTTGTATTTTTTTGGAACAACATGTAAGAGTGGGTCGACCCGCCCCGCCCCGTACCCGCGCGGGTTTTACCTGCCCCGGCCCGTAGTAGCGTGGGGCAGGGCATGGGAATTGAGGTACCCGCCCCGCCCCATTGCCATCACTAATTTAGTTATATTAGTTTGTGAAACTAGGAAGACTAAGAATTAAAGTAGCTACCAAAATCAAATACGCACCTATTTTATAAAACAAAACCAAGTCAATACATAATGTTCATGTGAGATCTTTTATCAAATAAGCATTGTCTGTGTGGTATATGTTTATTTTTTATAACAAAATCAAGTCCATAGATATAGTCAGGTAAATTAATCGATTCGTTAAAAGTGGGGAATAATCAATAAAGGTTAGTCTAATACCCAAACTCATCTTCATTTCTCCACGAACTCACAAACAACACAACATGTAACCAGCTACCAACAATACAATAATATAATCGAGAGTGGAGAATGATCGATTCATTAAAAGCGGGCGCCTCCACTTATCGAGTCACTTTTTTGTTTTGGTGTTGTTGCCATCGGAGAAGCCGTGACATGCAACGATGTTTATCTAGTAACAAGTCACTCCGCCTCTCTGTTATCTTCAAATCTATTTCCAAATCAATCTCTTATGAATTTACAATAACTAACCTATTATGTTCGAGATTTATAATTTATTTAACACTTTATTAACTTTTTTTTACGTATGTTTTTGTGTTTGTTTGAAGAAACACAACATCACTATTTAATTATCATATTATTATATTTAATGTGAATTTTTGTGGATATCCACAACCAACCCGCAACGGATAGTGGTTAACCACTAACCACTACAAAGCGAGTTGTGGGTAACATAATTCTATATTTGCGGTTATGGTTACCCGTAAAATGTGAGCGGGTAACCACACCCACCCCAATTTCCAACCCCTACTAAAAACCCAACAATGAAGACTAGTCAAACAAAATTCACAAATATATACCATCCAAGAGAAAACATGGCACTGAGCCCCACAGTTATATAAGTTACAACACATATCGCCCCTCATCAATTCGACAGTAGAACCAGCTCGACTCGATAAATCCACATATCTGGCCTTCCATCCATTATTGCCCCCACAAAATACCCAAACAACACAACACCACCACCAAAATTCAACTTACAATCGCAACCGTCCACGTCAAACCCATCACTTAGCCATCTCGACGGCCGTGATCTTCGAACCGTCCCCTTTGATCGAATCGTAGCGTCGCAATATGTAGGCCACGAGCATCGACGCGGAGAGCGTGACGTAGTCCTTCCCCATGCACTGCTTGTTGGTGGCGGTGGGATCCGCCGTCTCCGGTCCGTTCGACCAGTACAAGTACTTCAACAGATCGGTCCCCTTCTCGCCCACGAACCGGTCCGGTTGGAACGTATCCGGGTCGTTGAAGATGACCGGGTCCCGCATCACCAAAGGAAGGTACCCGCACAGCAGCTCG